GTGGTTGAATCGTACTGTCTGGATCAATTTCTGAGTATAACGGTATGTCAAGGTTCAAGTCGTTTGACATCTCACCTTCAAGAGTGTTAATGACATAACCGCTTGAACAATGCTCCGTGTGAACCGAAGCTGACTCAGTGCAATATGGAACCGATGTAAAATCGGTTGGTTGTAGTGGTTGTTGCAATGGATTTGTTGACATTGGTTGCATTTCGGAATACGTATGAAAAATTCTATTTCTTGCCGGCCCTTTCATACCAAATCCGTTGCAGTGCTTCCACGACTGACTTGAAGATGTTAGCAGTGGTGATAAATTTCCATTGATATTGGTTCCGGTTTCGGTATCCTTTCTTACTGCTTCTTGGTACCTTATTGCGTCATTGCTTAATGCAATTTGCGACGAATTAGGTAAAACTGACATTCCTACAGTTGGCATTGCGACAGATGCAGATGTGGAAGTAGAAATAGCCGCTGGTTGTGATTGTTGCAATGGACTTGGTGATAAAAGTTGCATTCCGGAATATGTTTGAAAAACTTCACTTCTTGTTGATCGTTTTACACCGGATCCGTTGTATTGTTCCGATGATTGATGTTCGCTATCATTTCGTCGTTTCAAACATCGAATTGCTAGCGATGTTCTCAAAGATGTCATCAATGGTGGTGAATTTTCATTTGTATTAGTTACAGTTTCGGCGTTCTTTTCTATTGCTTCTTTGTGCCGCATTGCGTCATCACTTAATGCAACTTGTGATGAATTAAGCGGATCCGTAAATGGCATTGCAGCAGATGAAAGTTGAAGAGTACTTATGACGCCATTAGTTTGGCACGACATTGGAATTGCAGTAACATTGACAGTCTCGTGTTCTGCAGTATAATTTGGAATCATATCAGTAGCAGAAATTGGAACGAAAGTATCGTTTGAATTCCTAACAAATGCTGTTGAATTATTTGCCAACACCAGATTTGTTGAATGCACCGATTCTTCCACGCGATTATTTGAACCCAGATTTGTTGAAATCACCAATTTTTTCACACAGTTATTTGAACCCAGATTTGTTGGATTCATTAATTTTTCAACACAGCTATTTGAACTGCAAGCATACTGGGTTGTGATAGATGATGACTGGGCTGTGGTGGAAGATGAAGATGAAAGTGGTATGAGAAACTCGTGGAGTAAACTGTTGTCCGAAGCACTGATGATGTTGGCATTCAGTGTTGCAGATTCGGATGTAGAAATAGCCGGATTCAGGGACTGAGATTTGCCCAATTCTTGGCAATCAAGTTGATGTGACATATTTGACCCGTTACGGACTGATTAAGAGAATGTTCCGCACACCGAGTGGACAATTTAAAAAAATGTTATGTGTGTGCTATGAATTAAGAAAGGGGTTGGGCATCAAAGAGTTTTTTGGAAGACCCAATAATCAATGAAGAAGGATCATGTACAAGTGGGAGGGTCATATAATTTCGTCATTTGAACAATTACCAAACTTATTAATCCTTTGTTGTTGTGCTGAAAACTATAAGCACAACAACAACGAATCAATAGAAATGTTTGTATGTCCTTTGATATTCCTTTTTTCATTATTTCAAATCATTAGGTAGAATTTTCTCCACTTAGCATATCGTTTTCCGGATTACCGTCTTTGAAATTCGATCAATTAAAGGAAGATAGAAATTAGAAGTTTTACACTGATCATTATCCTAGCCTGAAAACCTAACCTGAAAATTCTAAGAGGGGGAATATCTATTACAATAAAATTTTTAAGGCAAGCAGAAATGAGCTAATTATATATGTTACGTCAATGTGATACTTATGACGGAAACAAAACCAAAAAACCGTTTCTAATGAGAACAAGGATAAAAACAAGCGATTTTTGCAACGAAGAATTAATTTTTTTTATAAATTAAATAAATAAAAATTTGTATAATTAATTAACACTTAACTGTAAATGGTTTCATTGTGGACTTATCCATAATAAATACGTGTAATCTCGTTCTCATCACAAACACGATATTAACTATGATCCTTGAATCTCGATGTAGACGTAGTAGTAAGCACGTACAATTTCATTCTTACAGTGAATGTATACGTCTCCGTCCAATCAAACTGATCAATTTGATTTGGTTTGATAATTCTTTTAGAAGCTGAAATGAAATGAAAGATATAATGGCGAAATAAAAATTTGAAAGATTGAGAATTGTCAATAAAAGACAGTAATATCGATTCGTTACAACGAATATATTTTGTAATTTTATAAAACAAATGACGAAAAGCAAATAAACCTTTCATTTTCTAAACAAAAAAAATAAATAAATCGCTGAAGCTCACAAAATACTTATTTTTTGCAATGCTTTCTTAAACTTTTCGAATTAGTTTCAATGAATCGTAATTATGAATAAATCACAAAATTACGGCATATTAATAACTCTATTAAATATCAATAATTGCATTTACGGAAAATTAGCATATTTTCCTTCTAAAGTTTCTAAAACTTGCTCCAAATTTAAGTTAATGGGTTGTTTTACCTTATTTAATGCTTTTTAATTTGTTTAAAGATGATACCGAGATTTTTTGCACGTGTCAGTTTCATTTATACGATGATCTCGAATTTGCCATCGATAGTTTATTATGGAAAAGGATTTACGCAAAGAAGGAAGTTGCTGAAATCGACAAAGTAGCAAATTTGTAACTGTAATATCAACCATAGAGAAATTCATCAATAATGAAGTTGATTAGGTACCAAATTTGTTACCGTAATATCAACTACCATTAGAAATTCGTTATCAATAAAATCGATAAGGTAACAAATTTGTAACCATAAAATCGATTACTGAGAAGTTCGTTATGAAATCGATAAAGAACCAAATTTGTGACTGTAATATCAACTACGAGACGAAGGTAGCAAATGTTTTGTTTTTAGAGATATCAATGAGAAATTTTAAATGCTAAAGATAGACTTCATTAAATTCGAAATAGCAGAAATTGCACTCAATTGAGGTTTTATCAATTC